CTATCTAGAATCAAAGCAAAAATAATTTAAAAACTTTCGTTCGGCAAATACAATCAATATATTTTTATAAAATCAGACAGAAAGTTGCTTTATTTCTTAAATCTTCTATTTTAATATTTTAATATTCTAATTTTAATATTCTTTTAAAAATCTTCCATTTCTAAGTCCATTCGTACATTTTTAGGTATATTCTTGAATACATTCTTATAAAAACTATCAAAGCCGAAAAAAATAAAAAACAAACAACAAAAGCTTAGAAAAATTTTTAAATGCTTCAAATCTTAACGCCATTTTATATATTCTTACATAAAAAAAAGTGTAAATATTATACTATTTCATATGTTTCATAAGTATTTCATACGTTTTACCTTATTCAAATATAAAATAAAAATTAAAAACGCTTTGGAAAAGCGTTGGCATACAAATGAGTTTTGTTTAGTCTTTCCACTTGGATTCGTATGTTTAAAATATTATATTTTTAATCTGAATCTGCATAATTTTTGAATCAGAGAAATTTTCCAGTCCATAGTTTTTTTCAATAAGAGAAACGTTTCCAGTGGATAATTTTCCCTTCCATAATTTTACCAGACAATTTGCCAATGCCTAATTTTCTCAATCAGAGAAACTGTTCAGTCACTGTCAGATATAATTTTCGCTATCGGAGAAATTTTCCAGTCCATGATCCTCAGGGAAATCGAACTGAATTCCAATTAGATGCCAAGAAATTTTCCATGTGAGAAGGGAATATGAGACGCGTATAATTTGCAATAATGGCCGGACTGCATGAATGTATACGAGTATATATGTGCATGAATGAAACACAGAAATGGAGGGAATACGGTATTCACACCTTCGGACATCGAGGCGTCTGGTCATCGACGAAAAGACCGCTGGTCGCTCGGGAGACGGACAATAAATCGCGCGTTGTTCTCGACGCGTTGTCGCTCGCGACAGAATAATCTAAACTTTCGCAAAGCAACGAATATCATTTGGCTTTAATTATGGCCGAGGGTTGGGAGAGACGCCTCGCGCTGTGCCGCGTCGCGTCGCGTCAGAGGTGAGCGTGACATTCGTGCTGCACGATCCGGTTGCGGATACGAAACAAAACCCTAGTTGTGACGGTAATTACGCGGGAGACTTCCGTGCGCCGTTTAAATTAAGCCATCCACCAGCCGGCAGATGAATCGGCCGCGACCTCGGCAGGATTTATCGTCGTTTCGACGTTCGATTAATTCGCGCATCTGCACGGACGTGTCTGCTTCTCCCCCTCCTCCTCCTCTTCTGCTTCTCCTTCTTTTTCCTCTTCTTCGCCTTCTTGCCCGCGAATCTGAATAAAACGGTTGGACGATGGGATAAAAGCCCGAGATAAAAGTCACAGCGCGAGAAACGAATTAACTGCGACATCGGGAAAGAAAGATCGCGCGTTTGATGTCGTTTCGCGCTCAAGTGCGTTACAACGCGATGCAGTCACGTTATTTGCAGTTTGCTGCAGTGCCGGTTGTTCTCGTTGAAAACGCGCGATCGTGCTGTTATTGCGACGACGAGCCACGCTCGACGTTAACGCGCCGAAAATCATATTTACGATAGATTCGGCAATGAATACCAATGGTTGTCGGTGTAGAGCTCGAAACTTTTTACGCGACTCAGCAAAGCGGATAAAAAATTATTCATCTCGAATTAAAACGACGTCAGAAAAACCGTTCCGGTCGAATTTCATCATCCTCGCCGACGCAATAAAAATTCAATATGTAAATAACTGCCACTTAAGAAGCGGCGGTACTACCATTCGAGTGGAATCCTTTATGATTCCTCTGCACTCTCCGCGGGACACCGAACGCTCAGTTCAGGTTGATCTCGATTCCGTCGCGACTGCTATGCGAAAGCTCGTGCGCGACGACGTCCTCGATCGTGTGCGTGAACGAGCGCGATGTGCGGAACGCTTCAGAAACGAACTAAAAATTCAGCGATGCCGTCGCGAGAGAGAGAGAGAGAGAGAGAGAGAGAGAGAAAGAGAGAGAGAGAGAGAGAGAGAGGGAGGAAGGGAGACGGAGGCAATTTAACTTTCCGCGAGCGAAAACGACGAGCGGTTCAGCCTTCAATGGTGGCTGGCTGCAGGGAAAGATACGACATGTCCTTTGATGAGAACATCCATGCAGACCGCCGACGCAAAAAGGGCTCTTCTCGTCGGTATTCCGCCTGTCGATGCTGCTGACGGAATATATTAATTTTTAACGAGTCGCTCCGGAGAGGTCAGAAGTTACGTCCTCTTGCTTTTACACGTTACGGATAAGCCGAGGCGTGAATCGCGAATTTTCAGCGCGACGCAAATTCGGTCTCGAGAAAAGCGCGCGCGTTATCGGGCACGAAAAATCCGTGCGAGCGATTTAATTTGAATAATGTAGCCCGTCTGCATCGTACCGCGTACGAGAGAGAGAGAGAGAGAGAGAGACGTGTGTGGTAAGAATCGTGAATAAAATCAAGCGATCGTGAAGTAATCTTGAATAATAATTGTAGATAATCGGCGGTGACTTTTTCTTCTCTCTTAATTTTATTTAACCCGTTGAGAACCGAAGAGCGCGATGGCGTATCGCCTTCTATATTTTTGGCAGTATCAATCAACTCATATAGAAGTTTCTCAGGGGGGAAGGAATATTTCCAAAAGCACAGCATAGATTTTGATTAGAATCCTCAAATTTTAAAATTGATTATCCGATTAGAATAATAAATCTCACTCTTATTTCAAGCACAAATTCTCCGCTTAGAATCGAGACAATAATACAAAAATTTATGTATTTTTTCAGCCGATGACATCGGTATATTTTTATGGCATCAAACAGAGAATTCAATTTTTATATCAACCATTGCATTCAATAGAGGAAAAAACATCGAACAAAAATAATTCTAATTAAGATGAATATCAGGAAAACAACAGATTGGGTTTCTTAGTGAGAGTTGCGTATTTAAAACATTACACTTAGAATGTTTGAGTCTGCATGTAATCTTCGGAAAAACGGGCTACAGAGATTTCAATTAAACATTCTATGCGAAGACTATATCCCATAGTCCTCGCAAAAACAAGTCGACACTCAAATGACTCGTTTTCTCATCAACGAAGCCTCAAAAGCCTAAAATGTATCTCGACCTGCAAATAGGTACATAAAATTACCGAATCACCATTGACAATAAATTCGACGGTCGATCTGCTTTTACGGAGCAAACTATCCACCGCTTTGAAAAATATTTGAGCTCGAATACGCTCGCTGAAGATTGGATATCCACAAAGCGTCAGTAAATCAGTTGGAAATATCCGTATCTTCGAAATATCGAGTTTAAATAAATTGGATTAGCGCTGATATTAATCTCGTTTCCACTGTCATTAAAGAGTGACGTTGCACAGAGGTTGCAGATTGAACAGGGCGCGACGGCGAAGCGTTGTGCGCGCGGCAACTGAAAACCATTTTTAAACCTCTCTCTCCTCCGTTTTGTTACTTCGGTATTTGCGCGTATGCAAATCGGCGCGCTGAAAAATAATCGTATGCGTTAGGGAGCCGGGGAGATTAGATTTATTTTTATTTCGCGCACGACGAAACTCCCCTCGCGCCCGCGCGAGGTATGTAGGTGGAACAAAAAAAGTAGAAGAAAAATACAGCGACTCGATTAGCAATCCGAATTAGGATTGAATAACGCGCACATGTTTACCCACGTGCGGGCAAAACTCGATTGTTTTTTGCGAAAAGAGTAATGTCACGAATCCAAATAAAAATCAAACCTGGACTTGACGGAAATAATTTGCGCACGACGACGATCGTGTATTTTTTTACCGTCCGATACAATGGTCGGTGTGGGACAAGGGGGGAGAGGGAAAGCGGGAGGGAGGAGGGACGGTCGAAAAATTCGCGCGCGTCGAATTCGCCGATGGAAAAAGGACGCGAATCCGGTCGCTCGCGCGGTGCGAACGAACGCGGTGCGAAAAGCCGCTAACGCTTCAATTTTCTTCTGTGAACCCCAGCCCGAGCGTGAAACGCGAACGGCCGTTTGTACGGGCGTAATGTACCGATAAAGCACTCACTGAGCTCGTCGCGAAATCTGTAACATTTTCTCGTCGGACGCGGTATTTTGCGCCGCCGGGCGATCGCATCGTCGAACTGTTTTTAAAACGGCTCTGTTCCCTCCTACCCTCCTCCGCTTCTTTGTCCTATTTCCCTCGCTCTGTGCCTCTGGTTCATTCCCCTCCCCCTCCCCCCTCCACCTCTCACCTTTCCCACTCACGATGGGGTGAGGAAATTGTGACGCACGAGTGGGTCGAAAGACCGCAGCGGCTGGATTGTATCCCGACGCGCAATTCGCGAAAATTTGTATAATCGTCGCTTGCCAAATGCACCGCAAATTTCGCCGCGCGCGCGCGCGCTCGATCGAAAGTATCGCGGCGAAGGAGGCGAGGGAGGAGCGGGCGGGCTTTTGGGCCGGGCGGAATTTAACAGTACCGTAATCGCGCTTTAACGTCTTTATTTCGGTGCCATTCGGCAGTTAATTAAATGACGTACCGCGCGTTTCTCCCTGGCGCCCACCTGGGTCCGCGAAATGTTCCCGTTAATCGAGAGGCTTACGCCAATTACGCTAATGAGCGTGCCGGTGCCGTAGGTACAAGCGGTCAAGAGTATTAGTACTCGCGTTCAACCCCGCGCGCTTTTCGGCCCAGCCGGCCGGCCGACATTTCCGAATCAGATTTTATGCTTCTGTGCAATTTGTTCAATCGGACGGTATCTCTGCATTCTTTACCAGCCGCTGAATCGCGCCCGATGTAGCGGGCGATTTGCGCGTGTTCGTGAATCGCGCGGTTGCATGCCCAATAAGCGGTATGGTAATCGCGATGAATAATAAATATTATTATGACAATAATTATAATGATATTATTTCACGCTAATATACCGTTAATGTGATAGAATCAATACAATGACGCGATATAAACTGACACGCGCCGCGCGACGTAAAACACTCACCTCCTCTCGGCGCATCCGTAGGCCCAGGTCGCTGTCTTAAGCCTGAAATGTAAACGAGTAGCCTTGAGTCGGTACACTCGGTGCATCGAAGAGGAGATTTATTGCGATATCGTAATCTACATTTTCGCGCGGAGTAAACAGCAAAGAGGGGAAGCGGCGTACAGCGCGGCTACAATAGTCTTAAGGGAGTGCCGAAGGAACTCCGAGAGTGTCAATAACGTACTCGTATCGTTTCTCATACGTTGAATGTTTCGATTCTGTTTCGCACGTACTCTCTTTCAATCGATAAAATTTTCAAGTATGGAACCCCCTTAGGACTACTATGCCAGTCTATGTATGCAATGACGTTTTCGTTACGTGCGTAATATTTAGCGGGTCGTTTCCGCTGGCGTTGCAAATACAATCAAAAATGCAATGAAGAAAAAAACCATCTATCGAGGCAGGAGCGCAATCGAATCGCGGATTCGCAGGATTAATTCTTTTGTCCAGAATTCCGAACGGTATGCGTCTATCATATCCGTGAACGTAACTTCGTTTGCATTACAGAAAAGGAGATATTAATTGTAAAACAGTTTGGTGAAATTTCGAATAGCAATCTGGTTACGGGGGTGTGGTAAAATATTTCGGATAACCGGCGGCGTCTGGTGTAAACCGCGGTTTCGTTTGTTCGGTGCATGTTCGCGCTATCAATACGCTCAGACGAAAAGAAAAAAAGAAAATCGAGAACGTTCGCTTTTTTGCGTAACGATTTTGTAAAATACAGCCGTACCAATGACTTGATCTGTTTTTATTTCCGATTTATTTAGAACGCGCAAAAAGTGCGTATTCGGGAAGTACCATGGGAGTTTACCGTGTTTGCGAGCTCCGATATTCCAAATTAGAAATGTCAATATCGACGTCAATTTAATAACCTCGACAGCGTATCTTGCTGCGTGTATTCATATATTTATTTACAAGTGAAAATCACTTCGGAACGAGCTTAAACGCTCGCAAGTGAGTATAGAGAAGCCAGAAATTAATTAATTTACAGAGATTAAAAGACAATTTGATGCTTCGTGAAATGCAACCGACGTTTCGTAACATCGACATTTTCAGCTGAAATCGATGGAATAATGGAATTCTCTTGAAATTCGCCGAGATCGTTCGCGTGACCGATGCATCCCAATCCCGACATTTTCCGCCCTCGTTATACCAGCCGAAACTACTAAACCAATTGGTCGGGGCCAGCGCGGAGGTGCAATCTAAACTTTCGAATTCTACGAACGAGTTCCAGCCCTTGAGGCCCTTGTAGCAGCTCTCTCACGGCCCCGTCCAGGACCGTGTATCCGACCAGATTAATTTTGCGAAATATCCGAAAATTACGACAAAAGCCACGACGTCTTAATTGATGCGGGTAAGTTTAAGAGCGGGCGCTCGAGATCTCGCAATTTTCCGATTAATAATTTCTAAAGGCTTCAGAACAGAATTATAAGCAAACGGGTGAGAGAGATGAGGAGATCAAAGGTCAAAGGGAAAATGTCTGTTTCCGTCACTGAGAGAGAAAGAAATCTCATTAGGTATTTGCAAGTAATTGTACAATTAATTCCGCAGTCATCCGTATATTTCTATCGTTATCACGAAAAAGTAGTAGCACAATTTATTATTATTATTATTATCATCAACTCTCTATGTGCTTGCTGCAAAAGTGGACCCCTATAAGGCTATAAGCATTTTGCTACGCGTACATAATCGCAAATATCAAACACTTTGCTTTTTGTATTGTTATCCTATGCAATGCGCAAGTTTAAATAATCGGCAGATATATATTTTTCAAGAGAATGATTACACGCGGTCTTTCCACGGGGACAGTCGTAAGCCTGAATTTAATTAATTTTTTTTAGTCGAGTCCTCTTTGTTCCTCATTTTATGTAAAATAGTGGTGATAGCTTTCCCCTTCTCCACCTTCTCCACCGCGTTGATAACCTTACCCAGAGCAGTCGCGGATTCGGACAAAAATTGCCAAAGGGTGCTGCGATGAGCAGCGGGCCGATTTACGGATTTGCGCGCCCTCGTGTTCCTCGGGGAACGGAGTAGTTACGGAGAGCGGTATCACGAGACGCGCTTCAGAGAAACCCTCTTTCGAGGGAGAAAGAATCTCGCGCTCGTACACCCGCGCATGGTCGCCCTGTGAGCTCTCTTTACTCGACGACGAAAATAAGTGACGAAATTAAAGTACTCGCATCTCTAGAATGCGTCATGCCCGCTCGCTTCATATCCCACCATCTCCAGTTCCATTTCACACGCCCGTTTCCGTCTCCATTCAGCAAGAACAAACAAAAGAAGGCAGAAAAAGATACGCGAGGTGTGTGCGACCCAGTAATAATGCTGAGATGTTTAATGTCAGAGAGTTGAAATAAAACAATAATCCCTTTGCAAGTTAATATCGTGTGAAATCAGTTAATAGAGAGTGAAATTCGCAGGCCCTGAATAACGGTGCCATTAACCGTCCACGCGCGATGAAACTGTTGTAAAACAAAGTTGATAATGCGACCCAATTAATTTTAATTTACACCGAATACGATCTGCTTTAATATTCGAGCCGCACTACAGACGGCCGCGAAAGGAAACCTATCAACGCTTTACTGCACACTAGTCACTTGGGATGAAATATTGTTTACACGCTTCCCACTGGATTATTCATCCCGGATAATCACACGCGCTGAATAAAACAAGAGAGCGAGAATCTGTTTCTCCCTTTCCTCGTAATATTATGTATACGTCGCTATTTCCCAAGTTGGTACGTGCGCGCGTTCCCCGTATTTCGAAACGGGCGGCAAATGGGAAGGGCATTTGCATTATTTAGCGATATTGCGGCAACAAACACTCTTTAATTAGCAATAAGTACGAAGAAATTAATAACATTTATTAAAAAGTCCTTTAGCGAAATGTCACGAAAAGTCATTGTTTTATGGTGACACTTCTCAATTTTCAGCACAACACATCTCGGAAGCTGAGCCTGAGATTAAAATTCTACTAAAATAATCTACTCGAAATTGATCAAAGAAAATTATTTTCTTATTCATTTGGTCGCTTAAAGCTTACCTCCCGGAAAGCTTCGTCTTTAAGTCGCTTCTTTCGGAAATTATTAATATCTCGACGTTTCTGTTGAGAGAAAATATAACAAAGTTTCATAAAAAAACACTGTAACTAATGGGCACGAATATATGAGACACCTTGTATCAGATTACCGATGCTTACAAAATCAAGATATTCTTTAAGCACTTGTAAAATTTTCTTCGAAAGGGTCTCTGTCAAGAGGAAGGCAAAAAAGAGGACATCCGTAGCTATCAGTTTATAGGATTACACTCCTTTCACTCTGCACTCTGATCAATGCTTCTTTTGCACTTCAGATGACTCGTCCGAAGTAATCATCAAAATTGAACCCCCTAAATTAGCCGCTGGCTTGTGCTCGAACTTCATCTGCTTTTGAGCTCGACGTCAACGGTAGAACGGTCCAAGTCGCCGAATTACAAATCCGACATGGCGCACTGGGATAAAAGGCAACGAGAAACTGGCGCGAAAAACGAAGGGAGCGGCGGTGAAGGTGAAGAGAAGGAGGAGGAGAGGGAAAAGCGAAACGAATGTATTTCAATCTCGTCCGTTGCTCCGGCCGCGCCGGAGTTTCGGCAAACTTTCGCTACTCTGATTCGTCCGGCTGACTGAGTTTTTCGAAGCAGCTATGGAGAGAGCGGACGATAGTTCAGTGAGTAGTATGCACGTTTCTGCGATCGACGAGCTTCTTGCTCGCTCGGGAACGCTTGAAAAAAGGTAATATTTGGCTTTAACGAAGCGACTTCGGAAACGAGTGCTATTGTCAACCTCTTCGTCGATAACGGAAACTTTACATACTTATCTCTCGCAGTGAGCTCGCTTATATTATACTACGAACGTCTTTGAGATCAGTACACGACTTATCAATTTCGAGATCGACACACTTATCATGATTTCCGTTCCGTTGCAACCCCCCTCCTCCCACTGGTGCTATTTGCTGCATCGTATAAGAAGCATCGAGTTGAAGAGACAACACGCACTTCTTCCAGCGCTAATTTATCTTCGCGAATTTATCATCGTGCGACAGAAGATTATCCGATTTCTTGCGCAACGTGTATGTACGACCCGATGTCTCTCTAATAGAGAGTCGCGTTTCTCCGTTGGAAAATTTTACAATGTACTGAGAATACGAGACCCGATATTTAATATCGACCATGGAGAGTATCGATCATACAGCGACATGCAAGACAGAAAATAATATCGAAGAAATATATCGAGCAAAATAGCAAATATCGCGCGACACGTTACGAAACTATACGAAAACAATAGCGAGCTCATCGCAGTGAAGTTTAATGGTCGACCGATACCTAACCTAACCGTGGACAGTTACAAACAAGAGTATTTATAACAACCAGCCCAATAAATATAACGAAACGACAGCACTTATGAAGGAAAAACGGCTTCTCTGTTAGTCACACGAATGTCCAGTTGCTTCTTACGCCGTGTGTAATCTCCTCTCTCATACATAGCGCGAAACGATCAGCATCTTCCACGGCAGCACGCAGTAGACATCGTTCTTCGATCGAGCCGGACGTTCATCCGACTAGCCCTCCGCACACATATCGCGCACCTGGCGCAATCGATTCTTAAACAGTCGAAAGCCCGTAGTTCCGTTTCCGAGTGAGCCCAACAGACGGAAACAAACGCACGACGACGACTAATCGATCGCCTCTCTCACGATTTACGACGCGAAATTCGAACCGATCGCCGGCAGAGCCCGCTTAGCTCGAGAACACACGACGTACGACGTAGTAATGTACGTAGCTTACGTAGCTACGTTGGTACAGACGTAGATAAGTACGTACATACATATATACGTACGTACATATATATATATATATATATATATATATATGCGAGTGAAGATCGATCATTGCGGAAGTAGCGGCGGAGAGAAAGGCGAAGAACGGTTATCCGTAGAGAAAGATCGGCGGATCGCGCGCGGGATCCGC